CGTGGGAAAAATTGACCATCTTCCGTCCACTTTTGGACTTCGTGGCAGGTATGAAAGTTGCTCCACTCACTGAGATCTTCATTTCTGTGAAGTTTGAGAATTTTTGGAAATAGTTGGATTTTCCCGCGAGTCGGGGCGGCGCGTGCGGCGGCGCGTGGCCAGTGGGCCGCCAATGCTATTTTTAGGCTATGTCGAATGTCTTGAATTCAGTTTTGTTATTTGAATGACATAGGTTGATCGTTGGAACCTAAATTCGTTACGTTACATTGCTTGATGAAAATATGAATCGACGATCCGACCGTTGGATCGTCATCAAACTTGGGTACATTATAATACGTAATATTTAAAGATCATAGGAATTTATGGATCGGGAATCCGATGTACAGATATTCCCGAATTGGATTTGTAAGTTAGTAAAATAAATGTTCAAGGCCACTTGTTTTAGGCAATTGGCGGAGATCTGACCGTTGGATCGTAATGAAATTTTAATATGTTATTCTAGAAACATATTGTGGATCGTTGGAAATTTCGGATTGGAAATCTGATATGCGGATCTTCCAAGTCATGTTATACATGGTTGTAAACCCTACCGTCGATCTTTGATCGACGGTTGACTTGTGGTCAATGGGTCTCAAACTATTTTAGAATGTCGTTGAGGTTGTGTTTTATGTGAATTACATATTCTACGGATAAGAGTTCTGAGATGTGATTTGATAATTGGTCACAAGGACCAATCATTCAGGACTCCTCGATGCGTGCGCTAGAGAATCATAGCGTGGACTCCAGGTGAGTGCATCTTTTCCTTTTTATCGTACATATTATTGAGAGTTCTATTGACACCTTTAAATTGATTAGGCATATTATTTTCATATATAATTATTGTGAATGCTTGAAGTACTATGTGAACTACGAATGGCTTGATCCCTGTTTAGGGTACGTAGGCAGTCTAACGAGACGTTAGATGCAGCCATAAAATATTTGAGACAAAAGCCTTGCTTGGGAAATTGAGTAATGCGAAGGAAATTGGTTAAGGCAAGTTTTAGTTTTATGAATTAGTTAGTTAAATTAGTGTTAATTGGGTTGTCATGAATAATTATCCTTGAAAATAAGTAGTTTGAGAGTAGGGCGTTATTGATTGTACACTTCACACTATATTGTTTATAATTGAAAATGCTACGACATGGTTGAGTAGTAGATTGCATCATGATATATCCATATGTATATTACTTGCATATAATTATTGGGAATGCTTTCAAGTGCAAAGGTGAACTCAGGACACTCAGGTAAGTTTAGGTGAGTTTATGGTACTAGTTGAATCGATTGCGTTATAGCATGACTACAGTTATGAGTTAGGCAACTTCGATATGGTCGTACTGGTTGCCATGAGTTGCACATGTTATATTGAGATGCATTGAGAGCTCATAAACCTGCACCTCGGTGTTAGTGCTCCCGCCCGTGGCCAGGGCACAGTCCTTCACGTGATGTTCACCTCCCGCACCTTACGCTCACCTTGGATCCAAGGTAGGTGCACAGTCCTGTCGTACAGACCACTTTAGGTGGTTCCGACTCGTGTGCAGGTTTACTTATTGAGCTATTGGCTAGCCAGGATTGATGAGATATGGATAAGTCGTATAGGTCACTATAGGTGACTCCGACTTATATGCTAGCCAGGATTGACGAGATATGGATAAGTCGTACAGGTCACTATAGGTGACTCTGACTTATATGCTAGCCATGATTGATGAGATACGGATAAGTTGTACATGTCATTTTAGCTGACTCTGACTGATATATCACTTTGTATTGATTTAGTTCATTTGGCCTACTTATTAATGTATGGTGGATGTGATGGCAAACCATGGTTTTGGTCATTTCCGAGTATGGTTTGGATATATGTATATATGTTGTACTGTCTTATGGAAAACGATATGGGTTTTACATTTAGGGGCATTACTTTTTTAGAGGTAGTAACTTTGGGAAGCTTGGTTTTATTGCTTACTCACACCTTCTGTTTGGTGCCCTCCAGGTTTTAGCTGCTGAGTTTGTATCGACAAGAATCTATGGCGAATCTTAGTATTGATGGATATTTTTGAGGGTATGATTCTTACCCACATTACTGCACCTTACTTATACTCTGACATCGCGTGTGAAATGGGTTCGCTCCCACTCGTAGCGCACTCTGGTACTTAGACACTTTTAGATTCGAATTTATTCACTTTTTATGCACTATCACATTTTATGGCTTCGCCGCCTTCCAGGTGTCGGCCAGCACAACTCGATTCAGGGTCCAAGTGGACTTTCTGGGTCGGGGTGTGTCATACTCGATCGAAAGTGTTTGAAAATTTCTTGAAAGAAATTGGTCACTAACTAGGAATGTTCAAAAATTTGTATGTAAAATGTGTAAATACATGAAATGAATGACAAAGAGCTTGCTTTTTTTTTTCTCTTTTTTTTTATTTTTTTAATTTTTTTTAATTACAAGCAATATTCTACATTAATCTCTATTAAGAGAAGACAGGAGGGTTTGAACTGAGACATAGTGAGTTGAAGAGAAATGGCCCAATCATAAAGGCAATCCACCGCTTGTTTTTTTGGCTTACATTTTATGTGCTTCTTAAGACCTCCTGATAGCCTCAGAAAGACAGATTTCAAATCTTAGGCAATTTCTAGTAGCGAATGACAACCCTCCGTGATTTTGTAGTGTGAAAGTAGATTTTGTAGTTTGAAATTCACTTGGTTTTTTTTTTTTCTAGGAAACATAAAAAATGAAAACTAATGAAAATGACTTGAAAACTTTGAGTTTTAACGATAACAACAAAATAAAGGATAAGGTGAATAGTACAAGGATGAACTTTTTAGTGTAAAAATGTGGTTTTTCGTTAAAGTGAACCTACTGATAGTTTTTCGTTAAAGTTCCCTTATAAAAAGGTATTCAACCGAAAATGCTTGAAAATTTATTGAAATAGAGTGGTCGCTAACTGGCAAAGTTCAAAACTTTGTAGGTAAAAGGTGTAAACACATCAATTGTATGAGAAAGAGTGCTATTTTTTTTAATTACAAGGATATTTTACCCTAATATATACTAAGGAGATGCGGGAGAGTATGAGCCCAAAACATAGTGAGTTGAAAAGAAATTATTTAACCATAAGGGCAATCCACCACTTGTTTTTCTTGTAATCAAGCTAAACTCTAATTCACCGAAGCCAATTTGGGAGCTGTGCATTTTCTATATCAAGGTTGGAAATTGTAATCAAGCTAAACCATAAGGGAATTCACATATTTGTTTTCAGAAATTATAGAAATGTTCTCAATTGAAATTGCTTGGAAATTGTTTGGAAATTTCTTAAAAGAAAATGGTGATAGATTAATCAAGGAAAATTCAAAACCGTGTGGGCAAAGCGCGTAAAGGGACATGCTTGATTCATTCAAAAGTAGAAAAAAATGGGATTAATGCATTATGGAATCAGAACCCGTAGCGGCGCGTGCAATTTTCTAGTTATCTCTGAAATTGAATAGGGGGTAATACATAATTTTTGAAACTGAACATAAACATTAAAATTATTTTTAAAACTGAACACACGCTTATTTTTTAAACTAAACACAATTAGGGTGCATTGATTATTTCTTAGACTAAATATGGTATGACAAGTTACCGGCGGGAAACGAGATCGTAGTTCTCGCTCACAAATCAAAGGCACCGTCAACACCGTACACAGCCCGCATGGGGCATGAATCTGTTGCTCTGGCTTTGTCACACCACTCACCACTGACATTACAATTGCTTTCTCTCTCTCTCTCATCCCTAACTGCTTTTGTCATTTTCTTTTGTGGCCTCAAGATATCTTCCCCCTCAATTACCAACCGCCCGTTTTCCTCGACAACATCAAAAGCCAATTAAATATTATTTTTACTAATTAATAAAACATTAATTTTCAATTAAAATTTTATAAAATTACTAATTTAATCATCTAATTAAAATAAACCATGAATAAGAAATATAAGGTAGAAATATAATTTTACACAATCAAATTTGGTTTTTTTTTTAAATCTTATTTACATGTAATTTTAATATATTTCTAATTATAAAAATTAAAAAAAAAAAAAAAAACCTTCTCACTCCCACGTTGTCTATCACTAAATTCCTCTCTCTTTCTATTTTAAAAACAAATAAAATTTTTCTCGTACACTTTATGTGTGCCTTTCTGTTAATTTTTATTAAATACTATTTTTTATTAAAATACTATCTCTCCTCTATACAGACCTTTTCCATTAAATACTATTTTTTTAGGAAAATATTATTTTCCAAAGGCATGTGTTTGCTGACGAGGCTTTACCCAAACGCTACACGGCGGTGAAACAGACGAATTAAAATCCAGTGACTAAACCAATATGAATAAATCCATAATCTTCCAAGAAACGAGGTCGTGCATATATAAAACAACTGCAAAATAATTATAGACAAAGCGGCTGTCTGTGAGATAATTTGATTAAAATTCAAAAATTTTCAAGTTTTTTTTATTAGTTTTCTTTAATTATTAAAATACATTTAATTTGATTTAACTATAATATAGTAAAGAGATTGATAGTTGTAACGATTGTGTAATATCTTATGGTAAAATCAAACAAATGAATCTATGACTTTAAAATTTTTTCATTAATAATTTAATGAGTTGATTTGTTACTTGTGCTCGGAAATACATATTTCAAATCTTGTTCAATCTTCATTGGTGAACAACTATACTCTCAGCCCTCTATAATTATGTAGTGTGGAATTCACATATTATTTTTTTGGGAAATTGTTTGAAAATTTCTTGAAAGAAAATGGTGATAGACTAATCAAGGAAAATTCAAAACCGTGTGGGCAAAACGCGTAAAGGGAGGGCCCCATCACATGTGCCCCTTTTATGCTTTTGTAACTGGTAGTCTCCTACTCTAAAGTTTTTCCAGAAGGGCCTCTGGAGCTTTGTGCATCTAGTCAAAAGCCAATTCAGGTAAAATCTGGCCTAGTCTCTCTCTACCCCTCTATCGTTTGTTTCATTAGATCCTCCTTAATTCTGAACTACTCTCTCTCTCTCTCTCTCTCGCTTTATTGTATCCTCCTTAATTTTGAACCAGTCTCTCGTTCTCTCAACTGCTGGATCTGAAAACTAAGAAGTAATTGTTTTGGATATATTATTTTGAAGGTGAAGTTTTCTTATTTTGACGGTGGAGAAAACAAACAAGCCATTGTCAAATTGGTAACTTGTCAGAGGTTAGTCACTGTTTAATGTTTACCGATACTGTTTAAGGCTCTTTCTATATTTTTTGTCATTTCTTTTTAATTAATAAGTTTAGTTGTTATGTTATGCTGGCATTTAAATTGCTAATTAATTTTTGTTATGTCTGCTGTTAATTTCTTTGCTAGTGACCTGTCACCGGATGTCACTTTGTTTTGTTTGCATTTTGATCAATTGTCTTCCTTTTGACGTTTGGATTAAACGGTTCTCTTAACAGAGGTTCTGAAAAGCTTCATTACAAAAGATTGAAAGAGAAAGCGCCAATGGAAATAGAAAACAAGGAAGAGAACAGAAGAAAAAGGTCTCAAGTTGATTTTTTGCATCCTTTTTCTGTGGTGTTTTTTGGTATGCATAATAATCTGATTTATGTTTATTGACTATACGAAACATAACCAAAACTTCACTTGCAGGAATCGATCAGGTGACGATGATGATACTGATTGTGAGGGGAGCAAAGCAAGGAGACAAGGTTTACACTTATATCATTTTATGGTTTTCAATTACTGGTAGTTTTGCATGCTGAGATGACGTCGTTCATATTAAGATTGCAAATATACGAGTATCTTTCTTTAAATTATAGTTTTTTTAAAGAAAATATGTGCCTATTTCGTTCATCTCTCACTCATTGAAACTTTGTGCATGTAGTCAAAAGCCAATTCTAAGTAAATTCTCCTTAATTCGGTGCAACGTAATAATATTATTTCTCTTTAATTAACAATAATCTCTCTGCAACTACATCTTTTTGCTGGATCTGAAAACTAGATGTTGTGGATATCGCTTCTTCTTCTTCATCCACTGCTGATGCTGATGATACCAAAAAGTACGATGTGTTTATTAGTTTCAGAGGTGAGGACACCCGCCGTACTTTCACCAGCCACCTCCACGTTGCCTTACTTGAGAAAAAAATCACAACTTATATTGATGACAAGCTTAAGAGAGGAGATGAAATCGCACCTGCCCTTCTCCAAGCAATCAAGGAATCAGAGCTTTCAGTGATCATTTTCTCGAAAGACTACGCTTCTTCCACGTGGTGTTTGGATGAGCTTGTGCATATCCTAGCATGCAAGGAAAAACATGGCCAGTTGGTTATACCCATTTTTTACGACACCCTTCCATCGGATGTACGAAAACAACGAGGGAGTTATGAGGTTGCATTTGCTCAACTTGAGCAACGTTTCCAGAACAGTATCGACAAGGTGCACAAGTGGAGGGATGCTTTGACGAAGGCAGCAGATATATCTGGTTTTGATTCAAAAAATTATGGGTAACTAACTAATTCTTTTAACTAGTATAAAATTATAAATTTTCTTTGAACTTGTGATGATTTTATTGTGCTAAGATTTTGTAAGGTATGAACATTTAAGACTAACTATTACTTTCCTACGTATATATGCCAGGACGGATGCTGATTTAGTTAAGAAAGTTGTTGAAGATATTTGGACCAAATTGTGTCGCGCATCATCCTGCGATTTAAAGGGCTTTGTTGGAATTGAAAGCCGCATCGAGCAGGTCGAATCGCTATTAGGCATTCATTCATCGGATGCTTGCATCACTGTCGGTATTTGGGGCATGGGTGGTATCGGCAAGACCACCCTTGCTGAAACTATATTTCACAAACTCTCTTCTAAATTCGAAGCTTCTTGTTTTGTTAAGAATGTTAGGGAGAACTCAGAAAAAGCAGGTGGACTAGATCACTTGGAAACAACACTTCTTAAGGAGATATTAAAGGAAGAAGATCTATCCATGGGATCAACTAGTGTTCGAAAAAGGCTCAGCCGCACAAAGGTCCTCATTGTTCTTGATGATGTGAGTAGTTCAATGCAAATAGAACGTTTAGCTGGAGATCGTCTTCGGTATGGCACTGGAAGTAGAATCATTATCACAACTAGAGATAGGGGCACACTTGGGCAAACTGTTGAAGAGGATGATATCTACGAGGTTGAGGTACTAAAACCGGATGACGCTCTTCAGCTCTTCTGTTCGCGTGCTTTCAAGAATAACAGTACGCGTATAACAGATTATAAGGAGTTGGCAGAAAAGGCGGTGGCTTATGCCAAAGGCGTTCCTTTAGCTCTTACAGTTCTGGGGTCCTTGTTCTTCAATTGCAAGAGCAAAGAAGAATGGGAAGATGAATTCAACAAATTGAAACGATTTCCCAATGAAGATATTCAGAAAGTGTTGAGAATAAGTTATGATAGATTGAGAGAAAATGAGAAGGAGATATTTCTGGAGATAGCATGTTTTCATAAAGGGCAGTTTGTTTTTGAGGTAAAACGAATGTTAGATGTTCGTGGATTCTTTGCGACATCTGGAATTAGAATTCTCATTGAGATGTCTCTCATATCAATTGATTCATACTGGAGAATGGAAGCCATAGAGATGCACGATTTGCTACAAGAAATGGGAAGGAAAATTGTTCAAGAACAAGATATTAAAGATCCCGGTAAACGGAGTAGGTTGTTCAATGATGAGGATGTCCATCGTGTATTGAGAAGTAACACGGTAAGAGCCAAATGCATTCAATTTGTTAGAAAGTAAAAATTACAAACTTGAGATGATAACAGAAGAAAGTAAAACTAATTTATAATAAAGTAGTGAGATTGTTAAAAGATGAATTTGATCGAATATTTATTGTGTTAGGAAGTGTTTGGAATATGAACAAATGTTTGTTTATTTAGAGAAGTAGAGGAGGATACAATTATGTTGGATATTTGACTAGACTAAGACACTTGTTCATGATTACCATTGCAAATACTCTTTGTTCCAAATGTGCGTTACATTTTAACATGTTGAAAACATATATATTCACATTTAAACTTTCTTCTTATTCTCAGGAAACTCCAAATGTTGAAGTCATAAAGGTTTTTTGGCGTGACATTGAAATGCAATCATTGAAACATGTAGACTTCAAAAAGATGTCTAACCTAGAAATGCTAATTGTACAATGCGGTTATTCTCTAGGCCTTCCCGATTCTCTAGACCTTCCCTATTCTTTTCATTATTCTCTAGACCTTCCCGATTCTCTTCGTTATTCTCTAGAACTTCCCGATTCTCTTCGTTATTCTCTAGACCTTCCCGATTCTCTTCGTTATCTTGAGTGGTGGAGATATCCATTGGAATCTTTACCGTCAAAATTTTCTCCGGAAAATCTAGTTGAGCTTCGTATGCCAAATAACAGAGTTAAGGAGCTTTGGAAAGAAGCGCAGGTATATTATATTATATGCCTATTTTAATTCTTGTATAAAATCAAGTGTAGAAATTATATTAATTCTTTATATTTCTATTTCATTTGTTGCAGATACTTGTCAACTTACAAGTTATCGATCTGTCATGCTCTAAAGATCTAACTAAAGTTCCAAATCTCTCATGGAGTCTAAAAATTGTGAAGATAAATCTCTGGGGCTGTAATAGTTTGGTTGAAATTCCTTCGTATTTTCAACATCTTGACAAGCTTATTCATCTTAATCTGGGGTACTGCACGAGTCTCAAGTATCTTCCAAAGATGCCAGGAAGTATTCAATACTTAGATTTAGAATACACTGGTATAAAGGAGTTGCCTGAATCAGTTTGGTCTAACGAAAATATTTCTTACTTGAATTTAAAGCGTTGCAGAGACCTTAAGAAACTTCCAAGCAGCAGGTGTAAGTTGAAAAATCTCGAGAAACTTGATCTCGATCGGTGCTATAACGTTGAAAATCTCCCAGAGATTTGGGAGCCAATGGAACATTTGAAGTCCTTAAGTTTAATGTATACAGAAGTTACAGAGCTACCCTCATCAATCTGTAAGTTGAAATATCTTGAGAGTCTTGATCTCGCCTTTTGCTCTAGATTTTCCAAATTCCCTGAAATCTTGAAGCCAATGGAACATTTGAAGTCCTTAAGTTTAGTTCAAACAGCAGTTACAGAACTACCCTCTTCAATCTGTGACTTGAAATATCTTGAGAGTCTTGATCTCACCAAGTGCTCTAGATTTTCCAAATTCCCTGAAATCTTGGAGCCAATGGAACATTTGAAGTCCTTAAGTTTAGTTCAAACAGCAGTTACAGAACTACCCTCATCAATCTGTAACTTGAAATATCTTGAGAGTCTTAATCTCACCAAGTGCTCTAGATTTTCCAAATTCCCTGAAATCTTGGAGCCAATGGAACATTTGAAGTCCTTAAGTTTAGTTCAAACAGCAGTTACAGAGCTACCCTCATCAATCTGTAACTTGAAATATCTTGAGAGTCTTAATCTCACCAAGTGCTCTAGATTTTCCAAATTCCCTGAAATCTTGGAGCCAATGGAACATTTGAAGTCCTTAAGTTTAGTTCAAACAGCAGTTACAGAGCTACCCTCATCAATCTGTAAGTTGAAATATCTTGAGAGTCTTGATCTCACCGGGTGCTATGGATTTTCCAAATTCCCTGAAATCTTGAAGCCAATGGAACAATTGGTGTCTCTTTGTTTGGAAGGCACAGCTGTCGAAATGCTTCCTTCGTCAATTGGAAATCTAAATAGGCTTCAAGATTTAGACCTTAGTTGGTGCAAGCAACTTAAGGATGTCCCAACAAGTATCTCCAGTTTAACCAATCTTAAACGTCTCAAATTTAAGGGCTGTCGGAGACTTGAAAAATTGCCTTCCACTCTCTGTTTTCGCTCTTTAGAAAAACTAGAACTCAGCGAGAGCGGTATATTGGAAATACCAGCAAGCATCAAACAAGCTTCTCGGTTGCCTATGCTCGACTTATGCAGATGCTATCAGCTTCAATCTATACCAGAGCTCCCAGCGCTATGTGATGTTCACGCTCAAGGCTGCACGTCGCTGAAGATAGTGTCAAGTTCAAGGACAGCACTCACACAAGGTTGGGATAAACCTCATTATTGTTTCAAGGTTTTTACTAATTGCCCAAAATTGGATGATAATTCAAGGAGCAACATAATGGATGAAGCACAGATTGCAATTATGCGAATGGCAACTGTTGCGCCATTAAAGGACTATTGCTTGCCTCATAATCCCTGGCCTCATATTAACATTATTTGTCCAGGAAGAGAAATTCCAAATTGGTTCAGCTATCAAAATGAGGGATCTTTAGTAGACATCGAGCTTTGTCCAGATTGGTTTCGAACAGGTTTATTTGGTTTCGCTCTCTCTGTTGTTGCTTCTCGGGTTTCAAATGTGCTGTATGAACCCTGGAGGGTAAGAGCCCATTTCATGGTCAAATTCTTGGGTGAAAGCCATGAACTGTTCAGTTCTGAGTACATTATACCAGGCGACAGCTACGGCAACTACTGTGACTGCCAACATCACGTGCATGTGTGGAATGAGGCCTTTAGAAGTGAAGAGGTAGGAAAAAACTGCTCCCCTGATGTTTACAAACTTGCCAAAGAGGCCTCTGTTGATTTCTGCCTGGTGGATTGGGAAGAACGACCTGCTTCTGCGTCCTCTGTGAAGGTGGAAAGCTGTGGTATATGCCCATTGTATGCGGAAGATGCTGAGAAATTCAAATTTGGTCATGTGTTCAAGTCGAGGGGACCAAAAGTAGAAGAAGAAACAAGACAAGATGATGATTCCAAGGGTCGTGGATCAAGTGATGAGTCTGAAGCAAATGACAGTGATTAGGAAAAACTTTTTAAGGCAAATTTGTACTTTGATAGCTCACTTGTCTGACCAAGAAATAAGACAACAACTAGGCAAGGGCTTTATTATTTTGGTATTGTTTATGCTTTATACATTATGAAGCGCTAGTTATGGAAGTGCATAATAGCCTATTTGTTATCTTTAAAACTTGATTTACCTTTATATCATAACCATAGACATTAATTAACACACCATGCCAGGGCAAAGTAAAAATCTCACAACCAAGCGCGATAGTTTGAACATTCAACACGACATATGCGATTGTTCAATGGCTGAACTGCAATGAGCCAACAATATGAACGGCCCGATTGGACTAACACTGGCAAAACTCAGTGTTCTTGTTTGCACCAAACAAAGATCAGCGAAACAAATTTTATTAGAGAGGGTAAAAAATTACAGAGTATTAAGGCTGAAAAAAGAAAGGCACAGCCCCAGTTTAATTATACAATCATCAAATTTGTAACAACGATAAAACTATAGGGCTCTTTGCTTCAATAGGACTAGGAACTTTCCAAAATTAAGGAGACAAATTATACGTCGCGCTACAAGCTAAAGGAAGAAAAGAATGAAGATACATTACAGGTTCGATTGCTGAACTGCATTTTGACCCTGAAATATTCAATTTTCTCTCTAGCATCCAAGATTTCTTTCCCCAAGTCTCTGGGATATTTGTTATGATTTGACACTTAACAGGAAGTAACATGCACACATAACTTTGTTGCTCAAGATGAGAAAATTGGGGAAACATTAAAGTTCTAAGTACCTTTTTATCAGCTTCGGTTGATTCTTTGAACTTTGAGTTCAGTGAGTTAACCTCCTCTGTACTCAGTTGATCTACAAGATGTTTCTCCAATTCGGGTACTCTGGGTTTCCGCTAATTGGCCTGCTGCTTTTCCTCAGCATGAGAAGGAGCAACTGTCTTCGGTGGCCTTCCTCCAACTGGGGGTGCCATGTGCCGAGCACCAAGACCAGGCATCAGTTGCTGTTGTTGAAAGCCTTTTAAAGTGAAAAATAAGAAACTATTCTCCATCAAAGAAAGACATGTTTCAAAATATAAAAGTGATTTGTTTTATGGATGAATACCAGAAGCAGGTCTCCAGGCTACATTGCTAGCATTGGAGTAATTATTTGCAGGTTCAAAAATATTGGATTGATCAAACAAAACATTGCTTGGTAGCACTGCTGGAAGAGGGCGTCCCTCCCTAAACCGCTCCATCAAAGATAATGCGGCATGATGGGTAGTCATTCTATCAATCTAGACTGCACATTTAGACATGACTCAATTTAATAGTACATATTTATGGATGTTCGTATGTCAATTGGCCAGCAAAAGATTACTCCCAATCACAAATTAAATTTTATATCTACAAAATATCTATGGCATATGTAAGTTTTTACATCAAAATACGAACACATCATGCAACGAATGAACATCCAGCAGCAAAGCATCTCGCAGAAAAATATGATTGATTGAGCCTGTTATGTTCAGCAATTCAAGCTAATGAGAAAGTGCATTCATATAATCAATATTTAACATAATATGCCCCTGGTTATCATTTTATACGGAAATTCCTTCAGCAAAACAAGTATACAACTTTAAGAACCTATTTGTCGATATGATCCTGACCCAAGAACATTTCCCCTGTATGCGACAATCCTAACTACTCCATAGTCATCTTATACTGCAGGTTTTCACTACCGCACAATTTCTAAAGTCTGCTAACCCCCTCAGGTCGAACGGTTACACCAGAAGGTATATTAATGACCTGGTAACATAACTCTCTTAACCTCACTAATTGTAGTATAAATTCTTCATCTACTTATTTTCTACCATTTGAACATCAATTCCGCATTTATACTAACACGAAATAAAAATCTCAGCTTAGATAAGAGAATTAAGACATCCCGACCTCACATTTACCACTTCAACTACAATTAGACTACAAATTCAAAATCAATCTGATTCGGAACACAAATATAATCATACACACACATCCAATTATACATATACACACATGCATATACATATATATATATATATATAGAGAGAGAGAGTACCTGAGCAAGGACCTGTTTGGGTGACTAGAGCCCTGGAAGAAAGCGACGACTTCATTGCCACTAATCGGCCCATCGGAAATACGCATCGAAGAGATCCACATTCGCCGATTGGTTCTGCGGCGATGTCATCGCCACCGTCGGATTGCGATTCACGGGAGATCAGACCACGGAATCAATCGAGAGCGCCGCGCGCTCAGGCTGCAGTACGCGTAAGGAGCGCCCAGAAGAATCAGAAAACCAAGAATTTGGAGGACCATGATTTGGTTGCCTTTCTTCTCCGATTCGGAGGAAAATCAGAAGACGACGGAGACACTGAGTGATGCCGGTGGTTTGGGGTAGAAAAACGATGATTTTTTGTGACAAAAATGGTGCTGTATTTGTGTTATATTTCAAAATTGCCACTGGTCCTAATGAGCCTGGCCCATTAGGTACTACCACAACATGTACCATTTAGAAATCGAGTTGGTTTGCAAGTTTATGTTTTCGATTTGTCAACTTAATGTGAGATTGAGAAGGAAGCTACAATTTAATGCGAGATTGAGAAGGTGGCCATATAGAAAGGTGCAAATTCATGCGAGATTGAGAAGGAAGCTACAATTTAGAAATCAGAGTCATTTGTTTGTCGGATATTTGACATGTTACATTGTGAGACTGTAAATCGCATATGTACATTTAGACATCGTTTTGTAAAGTTGTCTAAAGAAAAAACCTAATTGATAATCTATACACACCCATAGAGATTAACTACTCTTATCACGTTTCGTCGGTTTCACGTCTTATTTTTCTTTAAGAAGACGATCAATGATTAGCATTCTAAATATGATTATAAACCCTTCAAATAACTTCATTAGTTGGTACAATTAAGGCATTTTGATTGATCCCTTTTGTGATCACCTCATTTTCGCTATTTAATTAGTCCCTGAAACTTATTGCATTACATGATGTGCATGGAAAGGTCTATTAAATAAAACATTGGGGATCTTTGAAGTAGTACTATGTTTCATATCAAAATCAAAGAACCGGCCTAATAATTGATGTAATTAGTAAACATTGACACATAATGTAATGCATTCTTAATTGGAGCTACGACCTTGTCTAGTTTCCATTTTTTGTAAGCGTATATGTTAGTTTTGCGTATGTCGTCGGCCACTCTCAATCACTGAGACAAATTTCTCGAATTTTATCAAGTACATGTCAGTTTATGTGATCCTAACTATTTTTTAGTACAAATAGTTACACCTTCTTATTTGCAAATATTGAGAACAATTGCTCACATGTGTGTAAACGGTAGGCTATGAATACAGATATAACTTGAATTCTAATTGGATATTTGGTGTTAAAAGATAAATAATAAAGTTGAGTATTTTTTAATATTCCGAAAACACGATCTAATACATCAAGTGCCGTTTTCCAATAATGGACTATATTTAATAAGTTACTATTAAAAGATAACTCTTGATTCGGTTAATATGAAAAGAAAAGGAAATTAGGGTATTATTATTTTATATTAATATGAATTACTTAATTATTTTGTCAGACATTTATCCATTAGCTGGTGTAGCAGCTAATGGGAGGCCTGGACTGCATACGGCGCTTCCCCAACGCCCACTTCCATCGCCTTTTATGTCCCCTGGCCTCTCCACCTCCTCCGTCTTCATCACCGCCGGCAAAAACCCTCCTCCTATTCTCTCCCACATCAAACACCCAAACTAGAACAATCAACACCAAAAATGCCAGTGCTGGGTATAAGAAGAAGGGGAAGATGAAGATGGCAGAGATCTGACTCTCAGACCTCCTTTCTCCCTCCCTCAAAACCAACAAACCCAGCAACAAAAACAAAAAAACGATGACGATGACAAAGCAGAAGAACAAGAAGAAGGGGAAGATGAAAACAGAGCACAAGGCCGTGGATAGTGCTGTCGTCGAGCTTGGTGGGTCTGCTCACCGGAATCGGCGTCGTCCTCTTCAACTACTCTGTATGTTTGATTTTTAACCATTACTTAATTGTCCATTTTTGCTTTTCTTGCTTGCTTGTTTGCAAAGTTTTGATCTTTTATCTGAAATTTTACACAAATTGTAAATGTTCATGGGATACATTAGCATTGTAGTCTGCTAGTGATCTTTACATGTTTTTGTTATTCATTGTGAGGATGTTTTAAAGAATTGTCTCACATAGGAATGTGTGTTGTCCATCTGTTTGGCTTGAGTGCTGCAACATGTGACAGGGCACGTGAGGATATGAAAAACTGTCCCAGGTCGGAAAGTCAAGGAACCTTGCAGAGACCAGGAGGCGGGCTACTCCCCCATTTCGAATTTGGGGTGGAACCTCAACTTCGGTCACTCATTGCCTATTTTTGCTTTGCTTTTTTCTTGCTTGCTTATACATAAAGTTTTGAGCTTTTTCTGAGATTTTGATATGAATGGGAAGGTTCATGAGATGCATGACGTGTTCTGGGGTGGGATGCCGCAAAGGGGAGCTTCGTGGCCGAGGGAGGAGTTTATGGGAGATACGTGGAAGCACGTGATTCTGGTTCCAGCTTCTGGGAGGGTTTGATCGTTGCCATATTAAACTTGCTTCGAGATGCTTTCTGAGGATGGTTCACAAGATAACAATGGCAATGAGCAAGGAGGAGATAAAGGAGAGAATTTATTAGTGAAAATGGGAATGCCTGTTTCGGTTTTTTATGGTCTCAAGGCTGCATCATGTCCTTTTTTCAAGGCAATTGCTGCTTGATCAGGTTGAGATCGGAACTGGGAACTCGTTAGCTCCTGAAGGTCCTAGCGTTGAGATTGGAACTTCTGTAGCCAAGGGCATTGGTGCTGTGTTTGATAAAAGTTCATAAAGCAGGCTCTCTCTTGTGGCTGCCTGATCAGCTGCTGGATTTGCTTCTGGTTGGTATTCAGTTTTGTGTATGTCTGTGCTGCCCATATCAAGACATGTTTGCCCTCATGGTAATTGTTGCTGTTCTGTTTTAACAGGGTTTAATGCTGCTGTTTGTGATACCTTCTGTAGTTTCAGAAGTTGGTCTTGGTTCTGAAGCAGCCTTTAAGGTCCCATACTATGACTTCCATAGTTCCATTCACCAACTGGTACACTATCAGTTATCTGTCAATTCTTCAAAATGATACACATAATCTCTGAGTATTTACTTGTTCGTGGTAATGTGATTTGCCTTTACTGAATATGGTTTCTGAATTTTCCCATTATTTGGGTAGTTGGATTTACATTGCATATTCCAAATGGGTATTTTTTCAGGCATACCTTTAGTATATCTAGAGGTTGATGTTCAAGTTATTGTTTAAAGCTGCGGTTTTAATAATGAGACGTATTCAAATCATTTTCAGAGCCTCCGCTATATCTATTGCACATAGTATATGTTGGTATTTGTTGACAATCTTCACAAGACCGTTGGCCTACCAAAATTTTTGTTCCCTATCGTGGGTGGCTTGGCTATCGGGCTGATGGCATTGGTACATCCTGAAATTCTTTATCGGGGTTTTGAGAATGTTAACATTTTTCTGGAATCTCGACCACTTGAGAAAGGCCTCCCAGCTGATCTGTTTCTTCAGTTGGTAGTGGTCAAGATAGCTGATATGTTTCTGCAGCAACAGGAATGGCATACAGCAAAAACATCGGTTCTGCAGTTGCTCAGTCCAATCCTATACTTCATCTTTCTGTCTTTGGAAGTAGCATCACCGCAAGCATACGGCCTGGAAATGTTTTTTTTCCTATATGCATTCTGGTTATTATCAGAAGTAAGTTGTTTCCTTTTGTGATCGCCTCATTTTCACTATTTAATTAGTCCCTGAAACTTGTTGTATTACTTGATGTGCATGGAAAGATCTATTAAATAAAACATTAGGGATCTCTTGGCCAAAACCACAAAACCGGCCTAATAATTGATGTAATTAGTAAACATCGACACATAATGTAATGCATTCTTAATTGGAGCTACAACCTTGTATAGTTTCCATTATTTTGTAACTGTATATGTTGGTTTGGCGTATGTCACTGGCTACTCCACATTGAAGCATGCAACTCTGGTGAATTTCTCGAATTTTATCAAGTACATGCCAATTTTATGTGCTCTCAACTGTTTTTTGGTATGTATAGTTGCATCTTCTTATTTGCAAATGCTAAGAACAGTTGTTCACGTGCACGTAAAATGTAAGTTATTAAGACATAGATATTGAAGTTGAGCATGAATCCTGTGGCATGTGTGATGGAATGGATTTTTCATGGAAAAGAGTTTCCAAGGGAAGCCAAGATAACCATTCATCCTGTGGTATGTGGATCTTCACGTGTTCTTTACATATCTAAGCTATTACTAGCAAAAAGACCCACGTGATGTTGCGGGTGTCTAAAATACTGTAAAAATATACTATAGAAAAGAAAGGTTATAGAAGTTAGATTTTATAGCTAAGTTCTTTGTTATCAAAAGATTGGTTGCTCACTGTTCAAAAGATAATTTCAATATGGACAGAGTCTAACGTCTGAAATCAATCAAATAAAAAAGGTTTCCCAAGCGTAGGCGCAGTACTGCTGTGTTTGTCTAGAGCACCATACAAACAAAGTTTATATTCTTATAATCATATTACGTCTATAGATATGCATGCATAGTACGTACCAATATATTTACGCATGCCGAGATTAATAAAGATCCTCAGTTCATTACTCAGAGCATTCGAAATCAGGTCTGTAACAAACCTGAAACGGAAGGAGAACTTGTCATAAATTATTTCGTCGAAACTTGTGACAGCAATGCATAAAGAGTGCTTTAATCAACAAAGTATCTGCAGAAGTTCAACATAAAACACGATGGGGATTGAAGTAGAGCAACTTTTTGTAATATTCAAGGTTTAATCCGATGCCATACATACCATTCACCCACACTAATACAAAGAGAGTGCTTTATAAATATATCCTCTCAAAATTACCTCAATATGCCACTTAATTTAAAACAGAGTGAATTGCACTATATGCAATTGAAAAATAAAGAAAAATTAGCTAGTCAAACAAAGAAAAGATGGATTCAAGCTGTCCACTGTAACACATAATACAAATTACTGATGTATATGAGCATATCAGTTTAAGACAGTCACTATCACATACATTTAAATTGATTTTTCACATACATGATCTTCATAAAACGAATATGTGTTCAAGCAGCAAGGGAGCAATCCATAGTTTATTGTTTTATAAGAAACCCATGAATATGTATGAGCATAGTTGGTTTCGAATGCCATGCAGCAGTCAAGGTGTTTGTTACCAATTTTGCGGTTCCATTGGGAAGTATTTGTATGTTGAAATATAAAAAGCGAAGTATACGGACTCTATACCTCTCCCAAAGAAATGCTTGGAATGCAACTGATGGAATGTTATGTTCGGGTGACTGGAAAAGTGCCGCATGTGTACCGAATGATCTTTGTGAGATTTAACATTAGGTTCAAGAATTGAGGTAAGAAATTCACAAAGTTGCCTTTTGGTATCCTCTTTTTGAGTCAGAGGCAACTTTTCAGGCTTATCTTTAAACTCCAATAGAAGGATGTCCACACATATCCACATGTGTCATTCGAAAGTTCATGGTTATGTAACCAATTTTTTATCTCTAGCTTCCAAAATTATTCACGTTTCTTTTTACACGTCCTGACTTTAAATGGACAATTTATGAGCCGAAATCTTGAGTTTCTCTTTCTTTCATCTAGTGAAGTTTTAAAAGCTCAATAATACCCATCTCTATCACAACCAATAACAACATATGTATTTGTCTTAGATCTTTTAATAACGGTCGCAAACCTTTGCATTAATACTATCTTACGAACTTCACCGATGAGGTCTTCTCGACTTCAAAACATTTCGCCAACAAAGATAGCATTTTATCGGGCTCATCAATTGTTGATTGACTTTCTGTATATCACACACCTACACATTTATATATATAGAATATACATATACTTTTTATGAAAGGGCTATACATATTTTAGTTTGCTTTTATCTTTAATTGAAGAGTCGTGTACATTTTAGTACGTTACTGAGTGCTACGGTGACTCACCAGGTGTAAGTTAGGTGTCTTTGTCAAGATTAAATTTCATTGGATGGCCTGCTGATCTAAACTGAATCTAGTAAGATGGAAAAAAAAAAAACTTTGTACATAAAGCGCGTAAGGGATGACTAGTAAGTTGTGACTTGTCAGCTGTAATGAAAGTTATGAACTGATGTTGGTGTGCCCTTATTTTGTCTTTCTTCATATGTGTGAATGCCTTGCATTTTTATACGGGGAAAGTAAGGTTCTTGAGTTGGGTAATTTTATTTGTCCGTTTTTTTTATTTGACATCTCCGTCGGATTGTCCGGAGCATATAAAACTTTTGTAACCTTTGTGTAAGTCAGGTCAACTAGTACAATTGCTGAACTCAAACTGATCTTAGTCTCGGTGGGCAACTACTCTATCCTCCCTTGCTTGCTTTTCATTCCCAATTTCTACCTCTGTTTGTCTTTTACCTAGTTTAGTGCCTAGATGGATAGAGAGGATGGTGGATCATGACTCGCTTACTTGGGACAAGACACATAATTTCAGGTGGAGTTATGGACTCTCTCTTATGTAATCTCGATAGCTTCAAAAATAAAAGTGGCAAACTAGCCCATTGATTATTAATGAATAACTATTAAGACATGTTTAGTTTGATTCTTATCATAACATGGTGGTGAGATTGATAGTTATAATGATTGTGTAATACATTATGCTGATATCAAACAAAATGACTCTGAGACTTAATGGTTTTTCATTAATAGTCCAATGACTTAATGGTTTTTCATTAATAGTCCAATGACTTAATTTGTCACGTGTGCTTGGAAAGTCAGATACCAAATCTTATTCAATCTCTATTGATGAACAACTAAATACTTTTTTTTTTTAAATAAAGATAAATAGTAGCAAGTCACGACTATTTATCATTTCTGAACTCAAAGAGACTTTCAAGAATTTATTTGTGCTCTCCAAGATTTTGTAGTGTGAAATGCACTTTTTTGTGTGAAAATTATTAAAAAGTCTTCAACCGAATGTATTTGGAAATTTCTTAAAAGAAGTTGGTGACTAATTAATTGGGAAAAGTCAAAATCGTGGACACAAAACGCGTGAAGGGAGGGCCCCATCCCATGTGCCCCCTTTTTATACTTTTGTAACCGGCCATCTCTTACTCATTGCTTTTCCCAAAGAGCCTTTGGAACTTTGTGCATGTAGTCGAGTGGTGATTTTTTTAATGTGATTGTCACACGAAATGATACATCACATGTTTCTATATAAATAATTGGTTATATAAATTAAAAAGTTAATAATTTAAAAATTAAAAATTTTTATTACTACATAAAAATACGTAATACACCATCTGTATTTTCGGTATAATTAAAAATTTCTTGTGCTCAAAAGCCAATTTCTCAGTAAATTCTGAAGCCAATTCTTTGTAAATTCTGAACTAGTCTCCCTGTCTCTCTCTCTCTCTAGTTTCATGAGATCCGCCTTAATTGTGAACCTCTCTCTCTCTCTCTCTCACTTTACTGGATCCTCCTTAATTCTGAGCCAGTCTCTCTCTTTCTCTCTATTCACAATTAATCTCTCTGCAACTACTACTTCCTGGATCTGAAAACTAGAGGTTATGGATATGGCCTCTTCTTCTTATTCTTCTTCATCCGCGATGCTGATGATGCAAAAAAAAAAAATTTGTTTTGGATATTATTTTGAAGCTGGAGAAAGCAAATAAGCCCTCGTCAAATTGGTAACTTGTCAGAGGTTAGTCAGCGTTTATTGATACTGTTTAAGGCTCTTTCTGTATTTTTTTGTCATTTCATTTTAATTAATAAGTTTAGGTGTTATGTTAATTTCTTCGCTGGTGACCTGTCACCGGATTTCCCTTTGTTTTGTTTGCGTCTTTATCAATTGTCTTCCTTTTGACGTTTGGATTAAACGGTTCTCTTAACAGTTAACACAGGTTCTGAAAAAGCTTCAGTACAAAAGATTGAAAGAGAGAGCAAATGGAAAAAGAAAACAAGGAAGAGAACAGGAGAAAAGGTTTACACTTACTCATTTTCTGGTTTTCAAATACTAGTAGCTTTACCTGCTGAGATGACGTTGTTCATATTAAGATTGCAAATATATGAGTATCTTTCTTTAAATTATAGTCTTTTTAAAGATAATAGGTCCTATCATGTGCCCCATTTTCCACTTTCGTATTTCTCACTCCTTGATTTCGAGCCTTTGAAATTTTGTGCATGTAGTCAAAAGCCAATTCAAGTAAATTCTGAACTAGTCTCTCTCTCCCCCCTCTTGCATCCTCTTAATTCGGTGCAACGTCCTAGTATTATTTCTCTCTAATTAACAATTAATCTCTCTGCAACTACATCTTTTTGCTGTTTCTGAAAACTAGAGGTTATGGACATTGCTTCTTCTTCGTCATCCGCTGCTGATAACCCCCCACGTCGAGAAAAGTATGATGTGTTTATCAGTTTCAGAGGCGAGGACACCCGCCTTGGTATTACCAGCCATCTACATGCTGCCTTACTTCAGAAGAAAATTGAAACCTACATCGATGACAAACTTCAGAGTGGAGAAGAAATCGGACCTGCCCTTCGACAGGCAATCGAGAAATCCATGATTTCGGTGATCATTTTCTCTCAAAACTATGCTTCTTCCACATGGTGTTTAGATGAACTCGTGCATATACTCGAGTGCAAGGAAAGATATGGCCAGATGGTTATACCCGTATTCTACCACATCAATCCATCTGATGTACGAAAACAGCACGGGAGTTATGCGGCTGCATTTGCTCAACTTGAAAAACGTTTTGACAACAGTATCGACAAGGTGCACAAGTGGAGGGATGCTTTGACGACTGCAGCCAATTTATCTGGGTTTGATTATTCAAACAAATCCGGGTAACTAACTCATTCTTTAACTTATCTAAAGTTATAAATTTTCTTTAGACTTGTGACAGTTTGATTTGTGCTAAGATTTGGTAAAGCGTATTTGAGACTAACTATTGCTTTGCTACCTAATCATATACGTCTATACTCCAGGACGGAGACGGAGGCAAATCTAATTCAGAAAGTTGTCAATCATATTTTGGCCAAAATGCGTCGCAAATCATCCTGCGATTTAAAGGGTTTTGTTGGAATTGAAAGCCGCATCAAGCAGATTGAATCGCTGTTAGGCATTCATTTACCGGATGCTTGCATCACTGTAGGTATTTGGGGCATGGGTGGTATTGGCAAGACCACCCTTGCCGAGGCTGTATTTCGCAGACACTCTTTTAAATTCGAAGCTTCTTGTTTTCTTAAGAATGTTAGGGAGAACTCAGAACAAGCAGGTGGACTAGATCACTTGGAAAAAACACTTTTTAAGGAGATATTAAAGGTTGAAGTTTCTTTGCCCTTAGAATCAATTTTTCAAGAAAGGCTCAGTCATACAAAGGTCCTCATTGTTCTAGATGACGTGAGTGATTCATTGCAAATGGATCGTTTAGCTGGCGATCATCTCCGGTATGGCAGTGGAAGTAGAATCATTATCACAAGTAGAGATAGGGGCAAACTTGCGCTAACTGGTGAAGAGGCTAAGATCTACAAGGTTGAGGGATTAAAATCGGATGACGCTCTTCAGCTCTTCTGTTTGCGTGCTTTCAAGAATAACGGTGCTTGTAGAACAGATTTTAAGGAGTTGGCAAAAAAGGTGGTTGCTTATGCTGGACGCGTTCCTTTAGCTCTTACAGTTTTGGGGTCCTTGTTCTTCAATTGTAAGAGCAAAGAAGAATGGGAAGATGAATTCAACAAATTGAAACGATTTCCCATTGAAGATATCCAGAAAGTGTTGAGAATAAGTTATGATAAATTGGGAGACAATGAGAAGGATATATTTCTGGATATAGCATGTTTTCATAAAGGGAAGTCTGTGGTTGAGGTAAAACGAATGTTAGATGTTCGTGGATTCTTTGCGACATCTGGAATTAGAATTCTCATTGAGATGTCTCTCATATCAATTGATTCAAAAGGGAGAATGGAAACCATAGAGATGCACGATTTGCTACAAGAAATGGGAAGGAAAATTGTTCAAGAACAAGATATTAAAGATCCCGGTAAACGGAGTAGGTTGTTCAATGATGAGGATGTCCATCGTGTATTGAGAAGTAACACGGTAGGAGCCAAATGCATTCAATTTTTTAGAAAATAAAAATTACAAACTTGAGATGATAACAGAACAAAGTAAAACTAATTTATAATAAAGTAGTGAGATTGTTAAAAGATGAATTTGATCGAATATTTATTGTGTTAGGAAGTTTTTGGAATATGAACAAATGTTTGTTTATTTAGACAAGTAGAGGAGGATACAATTATGCTGGATATTTAAACTTTCTTCTTATTCTCAGGAAACTCCAAATGTTGAAGCCATACAGGTTAATTGGTATAATCTTCAAAAGCGACCATTAAATCGTGCAGACTTCAAAAAGATGTCTGACCTAAGATTGCTAATTGTTCACTCGTGGGCTTCTCTAGTGCTTCCCGATGTCAAATTCAACACTTCTCTGGAGCTTCCCAATTCTCTTCGTTATCTTGAGTGGTGGGGATATCCACTGGAATCTTTGCCGTCAACTTTTTCTGCGGAAAATCTAGTTGAGCTTCATATGCCAAATGGCGAAGTTAAGAAGCTTTGGAAAGAAGAGCAGGTATATTATATTATATGCCTATTTTAATTCTTGTATAAAATCAAGTGTAGAAATTATATTAATTCTATATATTTCTATTTCATTTGTTGCAGATACTTGTCAACTTGCAAGTTATCGATCTGTCGGACTCTGAGTATCTAACTGAAGTTCCAAATCTCTCTGGGAGTTTAAAAATTGTGAAGATAAATCTCAGGGGCTGTGAGAGTTTGGTTGAAATTCCTTCGTATTTTCAACATTTGGACAAGCTTACTCATCTTGATCTTGGATTCTGCAGCTGTCTCAAGTATCTTCCAGAGATGCCTGGAAATATTCAATACTTAGATTTAAGATGCACTGGTATAAAGGAGGTGCCTGAATCAGTTTGGTCTAACGAAAATATTTCTTACTTGAATTTAAAGCAGTGCAGAGACCTTAAGAAACTTCCAAGCAGCAGGTGTACGTTGAAAAATCTCGAGAAACTTGATCTCAATTGGTCTAACGTTGAAAATCTCCCAGAGATTTGGGAGCCAATGGAACATTTGAAGTCCTTAAGTTTATCTTGCACAGCAGTTACAGAGCTACCCTCATCAATCTGTAACTTGAAATATCTTGAGAGTCTTGATCTCACCGGGTGCCATGGATTTTCCAAATTCCCTGAAATCTTGAAGCCAATGGAACAATTGGTGTCTCTTTGTTTGGTAGACACAGCTTTCGAAATGCTTCCTTCGTCAATTGGAAATCTAAATAGGCTTCAAGATTTAAACCTTAGTTTTTGCCAGCAACTTAAGGATTTCCCAACAAGTATCTCCAGTTTAACCAATCTTAAACGTCTCAAATTTAATGGCTGTCGGAGACTTGAAAAATTGCCTTCCACTCTCTGTTTTCGCTCTTTAGAAAAACTAGAACTCAGCCGGAGCGGCATATTGGAAATACCAGCAAGCATCAAACAAGCTTCTCGGTTGTCTATGCTCGACTTAGGCGGGTGCGATCAGCTTCAATCTATACCAGAGCTCCCAGTGCTATGTGATGTTGACGCTCAAGGCTGCACGTCGCTGAAGATAGTGTCAAGTTCAAGGACAGCACTCACACAAGGTTGGGATAAACCTAATTATTGTTGCAGAAACTTTACTAATTGCCCAAAATTGGATAATAATTCAAGGAGCAACATAATGGATGAAGCACAGATTGCAATTATGCGAATGGCAACTGTTGCGCCATTAAAGGACTATTGCTTGCCTCATAATCCCTGGCCTCAGATTAAGATTGCATATTCAGGAAAAGAAATTCCAAATTGGTTCAGCTATCAAAATGAGGGATCTTCAGTAGACATCGAGCTTTGTCCAGATTGGTTTCGAACAGGTTTATTTGGTTTCGCTCTCTCTGTTGTTTCTTGGGTTTCAAATTCAAATGAGGTGTATAGACCCTGGAGGGTAATAGCTAATTTCATTGTCAAATTCATGGGTGAAAGCCATGAACTGTTCAGTTCTAAGTACGATATACCAGGCTACAGCTACAACAACTACCGTGACGGCCAACATCACGTGCATGTGTGGAATGAGGCCTTTAGAAGTGAAGATGTAGGAAAAAACTGCTCCCCTGATGTTATCAAACTTGCCAAAGAGGCCTCTGTTGTCTTCTGGTTGGTGGATAATCCATATTATTCAATGAAGGTGGAAAGCTGTGGTATATGCCCATTGTATGCGGAAGATGCTGAGAAATTCAAATTTGGTCATGTGTTCAAGTCGAGGGGACCAAAAGTAGAAGAAGAAACAAGACAAGATGATGATTCCAAAGGTGGTGGATCAAGTGATGAGTCTGAAGCAAATGACAGTGATTAGGAAAAACTTTTAAAGGCAAATTTGTACTTTGATAGCTCACTTGTCTGACCAAGAAATAAGACAACAACTAGGCAAGGGCTTTATTATTTTGGTATTGTTTATGCTTTATACATAATAAAGCGCTAGTTATGGAAGAAACAAGACAAGATGATGATTCCAAACGTGGTGGATCAGGAGATGAGCCTCAAGTTAGTGGATCAAGTGATGAGTCTTAAGCAAATGAAAGTCATTAGGAAGAACTTTTTAAGGCAAATTTGTACTTTGACAGCTTACTTGTCTATTTGTTATCTTCAAAACTTGATTTATACATTATAAAGCGCTAGTTATGGACAAGTGTATGATAGCCTATTTGTTATCTTCAAAACTTGATTTACCTTTATATCACAAACATAGACATTAATTAACACATCACGCCAGGGCAAAGTAAAAAACTCACGACCAAGCGCGATAATTTGAACATTCAACACGACAAAATTATGCGATTGCTCGATGGCTGAACTGCAATGAGCAAAAAATATGAATGGCCCGATTGGACTCTAACACCGGCAAAACTCAGTGTTCTTGTTTGCACCAAACAATGATCAGCTAAACAAATTTTATTAGAAAAGGTAAAATATTACAACAAATTAAGGCTGAAAAAAGAAAGGCACAGCCCCAGTTTAATAATACAATCATCGAATTTGTAACAACGATAAAACTATAGGGCTCTTTGCTTCATAGGACCAGGAACATTCCCAAATTGAGAAACATTAAACGTCGCGCTACAAGCTTAAGAAAGAAAAGAATGAAGAAAAAGCAAGCTGCATACACAAAGAAATGAAATACAAAAGATACATTACAAGTTTGATGGCTAAACTGCATTTTGACCCGGAACTATTCAATTTTCTCTCTAGCATCCAAGATTTCTTTCCCTAAATCTCTGGGATATTTGTTATGATTTGATACTTAACAGGAAGTAACATGCACACATAACTTTGTTGCTCAAGATGAGAAAATTGGGGAAACATTAAAGTTCTAAGTACCTTTTTATCAGCTTCAGTTGCTTCTTTGAACTTTGAGTTCAGTGAGTTAACCTCCTCTGTACTCAGTTGATCTACAAGATGTTTCTCCAATTCTGTTACTCTGGGTTAACCTCCTCTGCTTTTCCTCAGCATGAGAAGGAGCAACTGTCTTCGGTGACCTTCCTCCAGCTGGGCGTGCCATGTGCCGAGCACCAGGACCAGGCATCAGTTGCTGTTGTTGAAAGCCTTTTAAAGTGAAAAATAAGAAACTATTCTACATCAAAGGAAGACATGTTTCAAAATGTAAAAGTGATTTGTTCATGGATGAACACCGGATGCAGGTCTCCAGGCTACATTGCCAGCATTGGAGTAATTATTTGCAGGATGAAAAATATTGGATAAATCAAACATAACATCGCTTGGTAGCACTGCTGGAAGAGGGCGTCCCTCCCTAAACCGCTCCATCAAAGATAATGTGGCATGATGGGTAGTCATTCTATCAATCTAGACTGCACATTTAGACATGACTCAATTTAATAGTATATATTTATGGATGTTTGTATGTCAATTGGCCAGTAAAAGACTACTCCCAATCACAAATAAAATTTTATATCTACAAAGTATCTATGGCATGTGTAAGTTTTTACATCAAAATACGAACACATCATGCAAAGTATGAACATCCAGTAGCAAAGCATCTTGCAGAAAAATATGCTTTGATTGAGCCTGTTATGTTCAACAATTCAAGCTAATGAGAAAGTGCATTCATATAATCAATATTTAACATAATATGCCCCTGGTTATCATTTTATATGGAAATTCCTTCAGCAAAACAAGTATACAGCTTCAAGAACCTATTTGTCGATATGATCCTAACCCAAGAACATTTCCCCTGTATGCGCTAATCCTAACTACTCCATGGTCATCTAATGCTGCAGGTTTTCACTACTGCACAATTCTAATGTAATAAACAATCCTCAATCAATCCTTGGGTCATTTAACACATTTCTAAAGTCTGCTTACCACTTCAGGTCGAACGGATACACCATAAGGTATAAAAACCTCAGCTTAGATAAGAGAATTAAGACATCCCGAACTCACATTTACCACTTCAACTACAATTAGACTACAAATTCAAAATCAATCTGATTCGGAACCAGCATCAAATCCCAATCAACCACTAAAATTACAAAAAATATAATCATACACACACATCCAATTATACATATATACACAAGCATATACATATATATATATATATAGAGAGAGAGAGAGAGAGAGAGAGAGAGAGAGAACCTGCGCAAGGACCTGTTTGGGTGACCAGAGCCCTGGAAGAAAGCGACAACTTCATTGCCACTAATCCGGCCATCGCGGTCCAAATCGGCCCATCGCAAATATGCATGGAAGAGATCCAAATTCGCCGATTGGTTCTGCGGCGATGCCATTGCCATCGTCAGATTGCGATTTGTGGAAGATCAGACCACGGAATCAATCGAGGGCACCACGCGCTCAGGCTGCAGTACGCGTAAGCAGCGCCAGGAAGAATCAGAAAACCACGAATTTGGAGGACCAGGATTTGGTTGCCTTTCTTCTCCGATTCGGAGGAAAATCAGAAGACGACGGAGACATTGAGCGACACCAGTAGTTTGGGGTAGAAAAACGACGATTTTTCGTTTTTATTTTTTGTGACAAAAATGGTGCTGTATTTGTGTTATATTTCAAAATTGCCACTGGTCCCATGAGCCTGGTCCATTAGTATCGTTTGGTATGCAGACGAGACAGGACGGAATGGAACGGGACGGGACGGGACGGGACAGGACGGAACGGAACGGAGCGGGAGCAAAGATGCCCTCGGATGGAAACAAGGAGGAAGAAGAAGGAGACGGAGAGGTTATAATTTTGTGTTCCACGGATGTGGAACGAGTCGTTCCAGTGGGGTGAGGTGGAACGAAAATTCACCCAAAACTCGTCCCGTGGAACAGCTCGTTCCACCCGTTTTAGGCGCACCAAACGTGGGACGGAACGCCTTATCCCACTCTGTTCTGTCCCGTCCCACATACCAAACAGTACCTTAGGTACTACCACAACAAATACAATTTAGAAATCAGAGTTGGTTTGCAAGTTTATATTTTCGGTTTGTCAACTTAATGCGAGATTGAGAAGGAAGCTACAATTTAATGCGAGATTGAGAAGGTGCACATATAGAAAGGTGCAAATTAATGCGAGATTGAGAAGGAAGCTACAATTTAGAAATCAGAGTCATTTATTTGTCAGATATTTGACATGTTATATTGTAAGACTGTAAATCGCAGATATACATTTAGACATCGTTCGGTAAATCTATTTAAAGAATAAATCTAATTGATAATATGTACACACCCATGTAGATTAACTACTCTTATCATGGCCAACAAGCAGCTTATGTCCACGACGGTGTTGTGTTCACGTTTCGTCAGTTTCATGTCCTTTTTTTATTTAAGGAGACGATCAATGATTAGCATTCTAAATATGGTTATAACCCTTCAAATAACTTCATTAGTTGGTACAATTAAGGCATTTTGATTGATCCCTTTTGTGATCACCTCATTTTAGCTATTTAATTAGTCCCTGAAACTTCTTGCATTACATGATGTGCATGGAAAGGTCTATTAAATAAAACATTGGGGATCTTTGAAGTAGTACTATGTTTCAGGTCAAAATCAAAGAACCCGCCTAATAATTGATGTAATTAGTAAACACTGACACATAATGTAATGCATTCTTTATTGGAGCTACAATCTTGTCTAGTTTCCATTTTTTGTAAGTGTATATGTTAGTTTGGCGTATGTCGTCGGCCACTCTAGATTGAAGTGGGCAACTCCCTTGTGGGAGCTTCTTTTGTTCTCAGTTGTAGCAAAAATGTCTCAATCATTGAGACGAATTTCTCGAATTTTATCAAGTACATGTCAATTTATGTCCTCCTAACTATTTTTTAGTATGAATAGTTGCACCCTCTAATTTGCAAATGTTAAGAATAGTTGCTCACATGTGCGTAAACTGTAAGTTATGAATACAGACATAACTTGGATTCTAATTGGATATTTGGTGTTACAACATAAACAATAAAGTTGAGCATTTTTCAATATACTGAAAACACAATCTGATACACCAAGTGCCATTTTCCAATCATGGACTATATTTAATAAGTTACCATTAAAAGAGAACTCTTGATTTGGTTTATATGAAAAGAAAAGGAAATTAGGGTATATTATTTTATATTAATATGAATATTACTTAATTATTTTGTCAGCATTTATCCGTTAGCTGGTCGTGATCGGACTGAACGGTTGGCTCAACTGGTGTAGCAGGTAATGGGAGGCCTGGACTGCATAAGGCGCTTCCCCAACGCCCACTTCCACCGCCATTTATGTCCCCTGGCCTCTCCACCTCCTCCGTCTTCATCACCGCCGGGAAAAACCCTCCTCCTATTCTCTCGCACATCAAACACCCAAACCAGAACAATCAACACCAAAAATGCCAGTGCTGGGTACAAGAAGAAGGGGAAGATGAAGATGGCAGAGACAATCAACCCTCCGTCTTCATACCTTCTTTTTAGACGTAGAATGTGTTTCCTGCAATTGTATTGATTCTGAAGTGTCGAATGGTCTTTCGACAATTGACAATGATTGTACATAATATCATTCTCCATGGTAAACTTGAAAAGTCCGAACTTTTCTCGGTGAATATATTATTTCTCTTTCTGGTATTTGTCTGCTAAATTCTGAAGGTATCCCAAAATCTGGATGGAGTTGACAATCGGAGAGATTCCATTTTCAGGTTGGAATGGGTGATAGTCTTGCAGGAGTCTGTTGCTTTTTGAATTGACACAAGATTATCGTATTGTGCTGCCGCAACTTGGAGCTGTGGGGTTATCTTCGTGGATTACATCTGGACAGACGAGGAGAAAAGTTATCGGGAAGACTAAGAAACTCAAACAGGGAAACATTAGTAGCATTCAACAACCTGAAGTGCTTTCCCCTACTGCAAATGGGATATCAAGTGGTGCTTCAGCTGAAAGGACATCTAATGCAAGTCTTCCAGTCGATGCTCAGCAAGTCTTCAGTTGAAAGTTCACTCTGTATAGATGGTTCTGATACAGACACTGATACTGAACACTCAGCAAGTCTTCCGGTCAATGCTCGATTGCTGAAAAGGGCTCAGAGTTGGTTCTGCCTGAACAACTACAGATCTAAATACAACTGATGGACACAGGAACATATACAAAGTTATTGGAAGAGAAACCGTCAAATTGGGGTTTTCCTTTTACCATTTTGCCTTGTAATATAGTTACTGGTTTTACTGCAATACCGTATAGGTTATCGTTTGTTAATGAAAAATGAAAATTCTTTTGAGTAAAGAAATGAGTTAAGCAGATTATAATCCTAATTTCTGACATCCAAACTTTTCAAAAACATCGGTCACCTACGCCCAATCATTCATGATAGCGCGGGTTTGAGTCTAGTAATAAATGCTTCCTCTATGAACATCATGTGACATCCTAAATTTCTAATCCCATCTTCTTCCCAAATGAAAGAGGAAAATCGGATTTTGGAGCACCAAAATCAGGGGCAGTGGACTACTGATTGAACTTACGATTCCTGAAATAAGCACGGTTTTAGGGTTCCGACCAAAGAATTCGGTTTTGGGATACAACAGTATAATGACAGTTCCATGCCTTCCTATTTAACTTTTAATAGTTCAAAACAGTGAAAAAAAAACATGTACAAGATGCCAAATTTGGGTACTTATCCATGATAGTTTAAACAAGCGTTGAATTCTTACAAAGCATCAAATAAATTACCAACTTCACAAATCGAATGACAGTTAAGTTTGAATGACTTTGCTTGTGGTAATGTTTATATCTGGTCCGCAGGCTTACTCATAGTTTCTTTCACAGTTAGTTCATCCACTGATCCAAAGTCTATATCCAAAAGACCGCAAATATCAATGTCGACAGAGAAAAACAATTAGTCGGAGGGCGTTTTCTTACGAAAGCAGATACTGATTTTAATGATGGGCTTATGTGTTAATTTCACCTTTGCGCCTGTTGTAATCTCATCTACTGCTGGATCATAGCCTAAGCTTCTAGCATTCTCCGAGGTCCCTTTCTGGATCTCCAGTGTGCAAATAAACATAACAAATAGGTTATCATCCATGTTTATGTAAGTTTTAAAATGCGGCACAGCAAAGGAAATGAGCACATCGTAAGAAAGTAATGCTACGTGCAGGATATAAACATATAATCATAAACAGCAGTAGATACCATAGCTGGAAACATTATATTCTCATAAGATAGAAAGGGAACATTACTAATCACCAATGTAGGCTTCACGTAACAATAAACAAGAGACAGGATAACAGAGGGGAGCAACGGAACACTATGAAGAGACAAGCTTCCTCTTTATATATGATTTGGATGGTTTGAATAGATTCTAGTCAAATCCAGGTTTTAGTAAGTTTACGGTTGGAGCCGTCAAGAATGGTGCATATTGAGTTGGTTCATTGCATCATCTAAACGAATGAAACAGTAAACTCCAGAGGGACTATTTAACTTGTGTACATGGGAGATTTTGTTTGCCCTGTAACTTTCATCTTTTAGCCTTTCGTCAATATATTTCTGTTTCCTTGCCATGAACAAACAATATAACCACTTGTCCATTGTCAAAGATAATGAGCACAATTTTACTATACATGAACTTCAATGTAGTAGCATTTAAGAATAGACAAATGAATTTGTGAAATCCCGTCCCCAGAATTTCATTATTTAATTTACGTATTTCGTATATATTCGATTTTATTTAACTATATTTTTGTTAATTTTAGAATTTTAATTATTTAGTTACAAAGTTTGGTTTTTCAAAAAAAAAAAAAAAAAAAAAATCTGCCAGATGGCAGTGGGAGAGAGAGGAACCAATTAGAAAACAGAGAAAGAAGAGAAATGAGGGGAGTTAGCCAATCAGGAAAAGAGGAAAGGAGGGGAAAAAAGGGAAAAGAGGAGGAGGGGAACCCGGACCCCTCCCTTCGACCTGCCAACCTAACCCGGCCACATCTCCTTATTTCAGCCACCGTTGATGACGAGGCCGGTGTCAAATTATTCCTCTCTTCGAACCTAGTTGAACCCTTGTCTCAATTGTACTTGTGGGTCCCTATATTTGACAAACAGAGCACGAGAAACCCTCGGTATGCCAAAAACCCTAGAGTAATTAATTTTCTTTTCGGCATCGGTCACGATGGCACACCACCTGGTATTGGTAGCCCTTCCTTGCAAGAGTAAAACCCAACAACAGTCATTGTCATCAGACCTTCGACAGAGTAGCGGCGAGGCTCGATAGTTTCTAGCCACCCGACTCTTTCGAGGGCTTTTTCAAGTATTTTCCGGCTGAATTGGACTTCAGCCCAGGTATGAAAATTTCTCACCTCATTGAGATCTATATGCTTGTGAAATTTGATAATTTTTGGAGTTAGGTGAATTTTTTCGGTGAGTAGAGGTGGCCAGCCGCCGCGTGTGGCGACGCATGGCCCGAGGAACCACTTGACCTTCTAGACTAAATTTGATACCCTAATTCCATATGTGACGTCTGATTGAAGAAATCTCGTCGTTTGAACATAGTTTT